AATTAAAGAATAATTAAAGAATTAATTAAAGAATTAAAGAATAATAATAATAAAGTTATATATAGTTTATAAATGTAAATAGATGTGAACACTAATACAAAAAAGTTTTTAGGATTTTAATTTTAAGGTAAATTAAAGAATTAAAGAATTAAAGAATAATAATAAAGTTATATATAATTTATAAATGTGAATAGATGTCAACACAATTTAAATATAAAAAAGTTTAGGATTTTAATTTTAATAATTTATTTATAAAAGATTAATAGAACAAATTATGTAATTTATAAGTGTGAACACATAAAAATTGATTAAAATCTAGTTTAAATTTAGTTTAAGGGTTTAATAGAGCAAATTGTCCAATTTATATAAGTTAGAATAGGTGTGAACACATAGAAATTAGTTCTAATCTAGTTTGAATCCAATTTAAGGGTTTAATAGGATAAATTATTTAGTTTATAAGTGTAAATAAGTATGAACATATAATGTAAATATAAAGAAATTTTTTTGGTTTTGCTTGAATATATCTTTAGATTCCTCCGGAAAATGTGTTTGATAGCATCCGTAAGTAGACGTTATAGCATTATGCCTTCATGTATTTGTCATTTCTGATTATGATATTTGTCTTGTGATTTGTGAACATGTAATATTATAATATGTGTAATTATTATCACACACCTAAAAAATATAGACACATAATCTTAGTTCTTCTTTTTAACATTTAGTTATGTTATTTTGAAATATTATCTTGTAGATTGATTTAAATATATTAATTAATAAATATTATGTTGTATTAGTTATCAACTGATATTTAATGTTATTAGTTATTTCTAGCATTTAAAATAAATCGAACCAATATTATTTAAGATAATATTAAAAATTTCGTATGACCACACTCATTTTGTATATAATTATAACCATGCCTATGAGTTTAATTATTATTTTGTAAAATGCCTCAGACTGGATGGTAAACGGTGGTTTTTTGGTTGAAACCACCTCCGATTTTCTTCCCCAATTCAATTCATCGTCTTCCCCTTGATTTTCCTCACCCTTTTTTCTTCCAGATGTGGTCGTTCATCGCCCATCACTTGCTCGCCTAATAGATCCAGGAACGCCGCAAATCAAATCTCAAAGTCTACCCCAATCCGCCGGAATATGGCTCGAGTGGGTGGTGCTGGGCTACGCTACCGGTGTTGAATATCATGGTGCTCGTCCTAATGATTTCTCCAGGTTCATATTTTTATCCTCTATTTGATTTCAAAAGTTCAACTAGAGTTTTTTCTGTTTTCTAAGCTGGTTTTCGTTTGATTATTTGGTGATTGTGGTGGTTGATATGCATTTCGGGACTGGGATCTTGACTCAATGTAAAAACGTTTTGCTCTCTGAGTTCCATTACTATTCCGATCTTGTTTAGTGTTGATGGGTTTGGGCGAACCCATATCTGGAAATTGGGTTGATACATAGGTTTTGTTTTTATTAACTGATTTTTGCTGATTATCTTGTAATGTTGTAGGAGAGAGAAAGAGACTTGCAGAGAACACAAGTTGGGCCAAATTTGAGCTTCCAATTTACGCGATCCCCTTTTGAGCTTTCCTTTAGCCTTTTTCAAAGTTCTCGGTTGACTGCTCCACTTCATTCATCTTCTTTCCGTTTTCATTATTCGCTGCCAAAGCCACCGCCTTAGATGTTTCATTTAAACCATTGAAATAACTGATCATGTTCCCTTCCTCTCCATTATAGCTCCCTGCAAAGA